CAGAGATTCACAGCAATTTTTGGATTCAGTCTCATCTGCATTACTGCAAATTAAAGCTCCCGTGCAACCTCAGCCACGTTTTAAAGCACTGCCAGCTCTGAGAGCTCAACACGTGGAGCTGTCCTTGCACTGGGATGAAAATGGATGGAACAGCAGCTCCACATCAGCTGCCTCTGAGTTTTTSAATCCCCATTGTACTGTTTGAACCAAGGCTGACGTGAATCCCATGGGTTGAAAGCAGACAAATTTAGATGGATGGCCCAATTTGGTGAAATGCTGACCACCCACAGTCAATCTGTGGGCATTCACTGGCTCTGGGAGCAGGGATGGAAAATAAAAACTAGACAGATTTTTATTTTCAAGGTATTTCTTTCTTTAAAAAGGTAGATTACCTGTTCAAAGATAGATTTTTTTTTTGTAAAAGCCATTCTCAGGACATGGCTCCACAGTCTATGGTGCATTCCCCATTCTGCCTTCACAACCATGGTGTTTATAAAATTTAAGTGATGCTGATTTGAACATTTGGGCAGAAAGAACAGCTGGATCTGCCTGTGCTCTGCTCACCTGGGAGGATTTAGGAGTGCCCAGGTGAGTGCCCAGGAACAACTCCCAACCAAAATTCACTCTTTAGAGGTTGARTTTAACCTTAACCATTCCCCCTTCTTTTAAACTACCCCTAAAACATCTCAAAAGTTGGCTTTCACCTGTAAAATACAGGAAATTACAAGCTGAGCCCAGGTCCCTGTGTGTAGATTGAAGATGTAGAGGATAATAATGCTGTGCTTTGATAATTCTGTGTTTGGTAACAGTTCCAATGGCAGCAGGGTGGAACCACAACATCTTCAAGGTACTTTCAACCCAAACCAGTCCATGATTGTAATGAACAGAATCATGGAAAGGTTTGGGTTTGGGGGGACTTGAAGCTGATCCAATTCCACCCCATGCCATGGCAGGGACACTTTCCACTGTCCCAAAGTGCTCCAAGCCCTGTCCAGCCTGGCTTTGGACATTTCCATGGATTCAGGAGCACCCACAGCTCCTCTGGGCACCCTGTGCCTCATTGGGAACAATCTTTGTCCCACTGGAAGATGGAAAACCTGCTGCAGAAAGTGTCATAAATAAGCTGGATAATTAAATTTTCTGACTGCTGGCCCTGCTTAATTGTTTTGCATGATGTGGTTAATTCCTACTCTGGAATTAGCATGGGTTTCCTTGTGTAGGAAGAGTTGCTGGCAAAGAAAAAATAAGATTTTTACTTGCACCTCAGAAGGCCAGGGCCTCACCACCCTTATGGAGAATATTTTTTTCTCCTATCTGACCTAACTCTGACCTCCTTGAGCTTTTTAAGGCTATAAAAACCTCCTTAAGGCTATTCCACATTGTTTTGTCACTCCAAGCTCCCTCTTTCCAAGATGAGGCATCACCATCTGAACCACAGCAGTGGAGCTGCCGAAACACCTCCATATTTCATACAGAACCATCAATTATTTTATTACAACCTGGCTTTCAAAGCACAGATAACTCAGAATTTAAGCAAAGCTCCATGGTACTGGATTATCCCCTGTTTAAGTCTCAAAAATTAAGCGGAGTCATTTAACAAAAAGCCAAATAATGGATGAACAGATCTGAGGTGAATGGAAAAAAAGCTCTGATTGCCTTTCAGGGCTGACAGTCAGACGTAATACTCTCCTCCTAAGTTCAGAGGAAGGGCAGAACTGGTTTTTTCTCCCTTCCCACGTTACCCAGTTGGTGCTGCAGCCACATTTTACACTCATTTCAGTGGGGGGATTGATAACAGAACGCGCCTGAGGNGAGTTGCTGGCAAAGAAAAAATAAGATTTTTACTTGCACCTCAGAAGGCCAGGGCCTCACCACCCTTATGGAGAATATTTTTTTCTCCTATCTGACCTAACTCTGACCTCCTTGAGCTTTTTAAGGCTATAAAAACCTCCTTAAGGCTATTCCACATTGTTTTGTCACTCCAAGCTCCCTCTTTCCAAGATGAGGCATCACCATCTGAACCACAGCAGTGGAGCTGCCGAAACACCTCCATATTTCATACAGAACCATCAATTATTTTATTACAACCTGGCTTTCAAAGCACAGATAACTCAGAATTTAAGCAAAGCTCCATGGTACTGGATTATCCCCTGTTTAAGTCTCAAAAATTAAGCGGAGTCATTTAACAAAAAGCCAAATAATGGATGAACAGATCTGAGGTGAATGGAAAAAAAGCTCTGATTGCCTTTCAGGGCTGACAGTCAGACGTAATACTCTCCTCCTAAGTTCAGAGGAAGGGCAGAACTGGTTTTTTCTCCCTTCCCACGTTACCCAGTTGGTGCTGCAGCCACATTTTACACTCATTTCAGYGGGGGGATTGATAACAGAACGCGCCTGAGGYATTTTTAACTGTTCTGACRCCGCTGCTATAAGCAGCTCTGACAYACCCCAGTCAGCTCCAAAAACAGTGCTTTACCAATAAATGGGCAGAGCTTTCCTTGGGTTCAGGCTCAGAGAGGAATTGTTTTGTCTAAAAATGAGAGAATGGTASTTTTTAGTGTTATAATAGAGAAATTTAAGAATACAGATGCATCAACACTCAGTAACACCTAAAGGAACAACCCAATGCTCAGTGCCAGGGATTTTCAAGAAGAATAACCCCTTCCTGAGAGGAGTAAACCCTCCCTGAGAGGAATAACCCTCCCTGAGAGGAATAACCCCTTCCTGAGAGAAATAACCCCTCTCTGAGCAGAATAACCCCTCTCTGAGAGGAATAACCCCTTCCTGAGAAGAATAAACCTGTCCCTGAGAAGAATAACCCCTCCCTGGCTCACTGCATGTGCAGAAGCATTTGAAGGATTTCTATGGGCTGTGTAACTTGACGCCCCTTTATTTTTTATGCAAACACACCCAAAACAACAGGAGGAGAAGGATTTTTGGGAGTTTTTGCACTGAAGGTGACTGAGCCACCCACCAAGCCAGGTCTCTGTCAGCTTCCCCGTGGCCACCAGACCGTGGAACTCGAGTTTTGATGCCAGCTGACAGCTTTCCTTGCCTGCTCCTG